TCGATCGTCTTTCGAAATCTAGGTTGGCCCGCAGAGCCGTGAGAGCGGGCAGTCCCAAAAGAACGTTGTACGTGCTTACATCCAACACCACGACATCCCCCAGGGCATGCACGGTGATGCACCTTTCCCAATCGGAAAGCAACATTGGTCATTCGGCCTATCGTTTTCTCCTCATTTGCGGAGACGAGATGATCCTTCTCCGTTAGCATGATAAAGTATTTTCTTCTTTCCGCTGTTTTTACTACTCTTAGTGAAATAGCCAAGACGACGGCTCCTGAGTCGATAATGGCGTTGTACGGGACTCCCCAGACCTCGATGTCACATTCGGAGGATTTCCACGGGATCGTTTTGATCTGTAGAAAGTGATCATCTTTTTGTATTAATCCCAGACGTATGGGATCTGACGTACTGGCGGGGTTCAGGTTGTCATGTTGACAGGAGATTATTTCCAAATGCTTCCTGTTTCTGGTGTGACTATTTTTCTTCCCCCCGTATCTAAACTCGACAACACTACATGAGACAATGAAGGTTTTCGATTGTGGCGCTTGTTTTCTACTGTTGTTATTTTAGACGACTCCGTCCGATTTGCTTCAGATCCTGAGTGGGGTTTAGGATGCTCTGCTGCATGAAAAGACATTTGGACAAAAAAATTCATTGATATAATTAATCAAAGAGTTCTTTCGATTAATCCTTCAGCTGTCGTCTCACCAAACCTCCAACAACCTCTTTCAGCCTCATCATCGCTAACTGTGAATCCCCCTTATTCATTGTTATTGCCGTTTAATGAGCTAATCGTCATCCCGTGGTCGGCAGTAGCGCCCCATTGGCCTAACACTCTGTGCAGCGATTGTCGCCGCTTCGAGCGTTACCAATCGAAGGGTTTTCACTACCGAGTACGAGAGGAAGATGAGCATAAGGAAAGAGCCACTCGGTTAAGGCCTTCCACGTCAGATTCAGAGTTGTGTAATGAGCAGTGTCGGGACTTGATCCGGAAAATGGATCATACCAAGCATGTGCCCGCCCCCTTCCACGCGAAACAAAAAGTGACGGCTCAATGGGAAGTTCAGCGATACTTTTTGGATTGAATTTCCCCGCACCGTGCCTCCCGCACATGCCTTCTTCTCTCTCAAAACCTGCGCAGTGACGGACCCTCCCCCTCCTTACTAAGTCGGACCGGCATAGGGGATTTCGGTTCTGTCCGTGTCCCCGCACTCAATTTTCCAAAAATCCTTGGCAAACCCCCATCTTGCTGCCTTTCTAGGGCCTCCTTCCGCCATTTAAACACTCCGAACGAAAAGCAGCACAGGGTGTGAGAGTGAGCGTCACATCCATCTACACAGCCAGAGCACAGGGCAGTCCAGGGTGGGAGATTCCCCCCATACAACACCTACGCATTGCCAGCCTTACGGCCGTCCCCCCGTGGGGTGCCCTTCCGGCGATGGAAACCCGCACGAGGCCAACATGGCGCATTCCGATCACAACACTCGCATTCGAGCCAGCGAGGACTTGAACCCCCAGCCTGTGTCGCAAGGAACCTGTACAACACAGGCGCCTGACCGATTGGGCTACTGCACATTTGGGCTTCCCGTTAGTTTCTTAGGGGTTGTTAGTGAGGTGGGTTGTCTGTGAGGTTTCCCGCCTCGGTTCCAACGTCCAATTATGTATTGAGATGCTGATTTAAACCACCACGCTAAGCTGGAGGGTCCAGTGTCAGAAGGCTCCGCATTATTGTGGCCTGTATGGACCCTGATTGCACTAACAGACTCAGTTGGTAGGGCCTGTCCGTTTCACGATCATAGGGGCCTATTTGGACCACACAACAGACTTACATCCATTTGGAAGGAACCCGACCAGGTGCATTCAGACAAGTCGGAACATTGTAAATGTATCCTGTCCAACAGGCGTCCCAATGCACGCCTAGCGTTGTCTAGTGGAGCAGAGGCCCCAGGTCCAACTTATCCTGATTCTTCGTCTCTAGCCGTCGATTGGGCCATCGTCTTTGCGGGGAAGACCGCCTAGAACCTCGTCGTTTGCACGACGTGGTGAGTCCTAAGAGGCTCGCCACACAGGCTGTCGAAAACTCAGTTTGCTACAGTTTCGCATCGCCACTCAGACTTTCCAAGAATTGCGGTTCAAGAATTTTTTGACTGGTGTCAGATTCGTTGTTTCAACAGCCGCCCTCCCACGTCCTAAGAGGCTCGCCACACAAGCTGTCGAAAACTCAGTTTGCTACAGTTTTGCATCGCCACACAGACTTTCCAAGAATTGCGGTTCAAGAATTTTTCGACAGGTGTCAGATTCGTTTTTTCAACAGCCGCCCTCCAACATCTGTTTCCTCCCGCCTGCAGGTGCCGGAAATTCGACAGTGGCCCGCCCACCTTTCGAAACCGCCTCCGATTTTCCATTGTCAGGGACTGCTCCCTGACAGTCGTGTCCTGTTTATCCGTATGTAGTCTAAAGTGGCTGTCGAAAACAGAGTGGACATCTGGTTTCAGGTGGTCCAGTGAAGAGCCCGCTCTGGTCCGCTTGCACGCACAAATTCATAGTTGTAAAAACTCCTGCCAGGCGACCGCCTTCGCCACACAGCACCTGTCGAAAGGCTGAGTCTACTTTCCAACTTGCGACAACCTCGCCTGGCTGAGTCTACTTTTTAACTTGCGACAACCTCGCCCCTCGACAGGCTATGTGGCGAAGGGGGGAAAAATTGTAAACCGCCCTACTGTCGAAAATTTTCTGACACCTGTAGAAAATTTTCGACATTCAACAGCCTGTGTGGCGAGCCTCTAAAATCCTAACAATGTAGGTGGTCTCAGGATCTCGGCAATAAAGGCAAAGATAAGAAATGACGCCGATGGCGATAAAGGGTGGTGTTGTGTTCATTGTTCGTGTAGCCAATCTAGCCATGGCGTTGTACTCATGGTAGATTTGTTTGTGGGATAGATCACAACATTGCTGGCATCTGATCATTGCCACCCTGGCAAGACAGCGAGAGCACGTGGGATACTGAGGTTTATTTTTGTTGGTTTTTTTTCCTTTTCTTTTCTCTTTTCTCTTTTTTTTTTCCTTTGGAGCTTCTTGTTGAGATTGTGCAGAGCATCCAGCGGCCTAGCTCAGTTGGTAAGAGGCTCGCCACACAGGCTGTCGAAACTCGAAGAGTTTCTACAGGTGTCAGAAAAAAAATTGAAAGTCGGGGGTCTACAGTTTACCCCCCCTTCGCCATATAGGCTGTCGAGGGGCAAGGTTTTGGGTCATCGCCAGAAGGGCGGGTCTCACGGAAGTTGACGGAACAGTCCCTGACAATGCAAATTCGAACGCAATTTTCGAAAGGTCAGCAGGCCACTGTCGAATTTCCGTCGCCTGCAGGCTGGTGGAAAAGATTGCTGGAGGGCAGCTGTCAAAAGTACCAATCTGACACCTGTCTAAGGTCTTTTGAGCCGCAATTCTTCGAAAGTCTGTGTGGGGATGCAAAATTGTCGAACACCTGGTTTTCGGCAGCCTGTGTGGCGAGCCTCTAAGACACACAAGTGGCATTCAGGAGGTCTTGGGTTCAATCCCCATTGGCCTCATGTACCTTCCTGGGCATGCTTGGCGCCCGGCACCTAGAGATAGCCCGTTGGTCCCCCCAATTGGCATCAAAAAGCAGTCTCTGCTGATGTTCATGGGGGGAGGGGTAATTGGGGAGGCACAGCGACTGGCCACTCAGATGATGCTCGGTCCCTCTGCTACCGGCTGTCCCCTGACCGGTGTCCCCCCATTTGGGGCTCCCTGAAGGCAATCAAGGCCACCCTGGGCTGAAAAGGCCACCCGATGTCAGATTGGACACAATATTGAATTTACCTGGCCTAAAACGAGAAATGGTCCAAAGCATAAAGTGAAGAGGATTGTGCGTGCTTGTGGGGAGTCTTCGTCCCACTAGCAAAAAAGGAATCGGATCAAGCGCCTGGCCATTTCTCGATTTATGCGTGGGTAGAGAGGCAGAGCAGAGAAGCAGATCAATACTTCTCTTTTTTTTTTTTTTTTTTTTTTTTTTTTCTCTCAATTTCACCTCACACCACCTACCTACCACTACTCCTAATTGTAGGCATACGATGAACCCCGTAGCAGCCAGAACCGTGTTCACGCGAGAACATGCGGGGGCTTCTCCCGACCTGCAGGTGGGGGATACCGGCTAGGGGACAGCCAGTATCATCAGGGACCATGCCAACAGGACCAATCAGCAGACTCTGCTCAATGCCGATCGGGGGATCCAGTGATCTCTCGGTGGTGGGCGCCAAGGATGCGCAGGAAGGTACATGCGGCCAATGGGATTGAACCCACGACCTCCTGAATGCCACATGCGCACAAACACACAATTTCCCAAAGCTTGCTCCAGGTTCCCAAGGGCCAAAGCTACGTCCAGATTCCGGACTTAAACCCATGCCTCTTTGCCAGCGGGACCTGGCCCGGTTATTCTGAACAATACAGATAGGCGTAGTACCCGGGCGCGTAGTACTCGGATTTTCCGAATGCTAACTGGGGCTAGAGCCTCGTCCTCAGGACTACTGGGTAGCACGTGAAATATTTCTGATAATGTAAGTCATGTCGGCGATGGCGGCAATGAGGGTAAGGATGCCAATTCTCGATTTATGCACGTCAGGTTTTCTGACTAGTAATTGAGCCTCCCCGTACTATGCATAAAATTCGGGAGTCTTTGGCAAAAGCATCTGGACGAAGAATGTGGAAACATACATGCTCCGTGATATTTTATTTTCGCGCAGCTGGACAGTGGTGTAGTGAGGCAGTGTCGGCCAAACCTCCGATGGTTTGGGTAGTGATAGCATTCCTTGTCCCCCCCACCATTTCTCGATTTATGCCATGTCATCCTTGCGCAGGGTCCACGCTAATTACCCTGCTCTGTATTGGAGCTAGGCATTTAATTACCCTTCTCTGTATCGTCGTTCGAACTTCAACAGTTGTGCCGAATGATGTGATGGCATTCTCGCAGTAGCGTGTCGTTAAGCTGTCTCTTTCCTTAGACGTTAGGTTGCGTTTGTTTTTGTCCCGTTATGGTTATGATGGCTATGGCGGAAGCGCCCCCGCCGCGGCATCTGCGCCCCTCCGGGACAAGAGTCGTCCGAGGATGCGTTACACGCGTCGTCTCCTTGCCGTTGCTTTTTGTGGGATGTGTGTGTTTGATCTACTGCAGCAGCACACGTGGCGGCGGGCAATCGACGAAGAGAGGAGTGGGCGAAGGAGATGCGTGTCTGTCAGAGAAGGTGAAGGTGCTTGACGAGTCGCTTTTCAGCCATGAAGGACTTGTTGGTCGCGACTTATTGGCTGCGGAGGGGACGGGAGCAAGGGCGCTGCTTGACGCGGAACTGCCGGTGGTGGTTCAGGATCGGACTCTGTGTCCCAGTGGTAACGCATCGACTGTCCTTGCATTGCCGATACAGGAGCCGTTCGACATTATCCAGAACGGCACGACGTCATGCAAATCTGTCATCTGGAAGATCGTTGTACGCGACGATTCCCCAGTCTTTTACTACATGCTTCACGAGTCGTGCTGGGACTCCCAACTCCGCAAGGCCACCAAAGAGCGCATGTCTATCAGAAAGGCCGAAATGGGGAGGGTGCCCTCGACAGGCGATGGGGGGCTCATTAGCTATTGGTGGGCTCAGGGGAACGGCACCGGCGAGGCAGAGTTGTCTCCCAGAGTGATCGACCCACGGATAACGTGGGATATGGCGAGGCCGTGGTCGATGGACCTGTCTCCATCTGGTTCGCACCTTGTCTTGGCCCCGAACTCTTATTCTCCAAGGCTGACGTCCCAGCTAGTTTTCCTGGATGTTGCCACCGGCAGGCGGCAGGGGTTCGATTCCGACTGGCACGTGCTGAACAGCGTCGGGTTCAACCCGAACAAGACCTATCTCTTCGTCTCCGAGATCAGTACGCCTCCTCGTATTCTCTCTGCGGCGATGGAGGCGGGCATCGAGGGCATGCCGATGAACGCACTGCCGACGCTGGAGACCGTTCGGGAGGTCCCAAAGAACGTACGACCGAACATAACTTCCGTCGAGTTCGGCGGACAAAGCTTCGATCCTGAGGACAGGTGTCTGTACATCGCCAACTACGACAACGACACGATATGGAGTTTGAATCTGTCGAACCCTAAGGCGAAGCTCACCCACGTGGCGGGCTCGGGCGAAATCGGGGAGACAGATGGAGACGCCTCCAACTGCTCATTCGACGGCTTGTATGACGCGGTTGTTGCTCCTGATGGATGCAATGTATTCGTTGTGCAGGAAAGCGGACTGCTTCGTTGGATCAAGCTGGAGGCGCCATGTGGCAAAGCAGTGAACGTAAGTACCGTAGCCACGTATACAGGGCCGAAATGGCGGGGATTGGCGCTGCATTACGTGGGCGGCACAGCCAGCCTGCTGCTCGGCGCGCGAGACGGGAAAGTGTTCAGGCTGGAGATTAACAGCAGCGCTTTGCATGTGTGCAAGCCTTTTGGCACCCCGGACAAAGCCGAGCCCCCCCTCTCCGCTTCTTCCCCCAGCCCTTCTCCGACCTCCGACTCGACTTCTCCCTTCATCAATTCTCCACCCTCCAACACCTCTTCCCCAACTTTCGGTCTCCCTCTGGGCGTCATTGTCATTGTCGGGTCGGTCTTAGGCGGCTGCTTAGTTGTGGCGCTCCTCTGCGCAGGGATTTGTTGGATCTCACGTCGAAGGCGGCGGGCGAGCGCTCATCATGATGATCCTTCACCATTGTCAGGCCTTGGGACTACTGTCATCACCCTGAATTACTCGCCAGTCCCGACAGTCCCGAGCGTCCACGCGGACACAGGACTTTGTCCCACCTCTGTGCAAGCGTTCCCCTTGGCGCAGCTGGCGCACTGCACTATGAATTTCGATGCGCGCTACAGGATTGGGGAGAAGGGAGCGTTCGGGGAAGTGTACTGGGCGGAGGTCGGGAGCCGGGAGGTGGCAATCAAGGTCATGATCGGGGAGTTGACGGCGGTAAAGCGGCAGCAGTTCCTGGCTGAGGTTAACACTCTGAGCCGCCTGCATCATGGCAATCTGGTCGAGCTCATCGGCTTCTGCCAGGAGGGGAATCGGTCCATCTTGGTCTACCCCTTCTTCTCCGGCGGCAGCTTGCACGACCGGCTGCACAAGCGGCAGAAGGCTGGAGAGATTGAGAGGCTGCCGGCACTACTGCTGAGGGAGAGGGTGTCCATCGCATGTCAGATTGCGAACGGGCTGTCGTACCTTCACCACGGTGCAGATCCGCCCGTCATTCATCGGGATATCAAAAGCCATAACGTACTCTTGTCGGATGGGCGGGGAGACAGCCTTCGCGCCGTTCTTGCCGACTTCGGACTGGCAACCATAGGACACAGCGTCTTCGACTCGACGCACGAAAGCATAGTGCGAACGTGCCACGTGGCAGGCACACAGGGGTACATGGCGCCGGAGTACTTGAGAATGGGGAGATTGACGGCCAAGGTRGACGTCTWCTCCTTCGGTGTGATTATCCTTGAGCTTCTGACCGCCAGGAAATCGGTATTCCCCCTGCCTCCGCCGTCCAATGGGGAATGGATGATGCTTGCTGATTGGGTGAGGGCAAGCTCTCATCTTCCGCTTTTCGACCTGCTGATGACCGTCCTTGACGAACGTCTGCGTGACGAAGTGAAGAGCAATGTGGCCAACCAGCATATGGTGATGGACCTCATTTCCTTGGCGATGGACTGCGTGSAAGAAGCAGATGTTCAGAGGCCGAACATGGGCGCCGTGTTCCAGAGGATTTGCGCTGTAGTCTCGGAATCCGATACGAAAAGGAACAATCTCAAGTGATCGGAGCTCCTCCAA